TTGTCGGCGTCCATGGCGACACCGGCCGCTGAAATCACATGGCCGAGGTACGCCACCAAGGAGGCCCCAAATGAACATTTGTAGCGCTTGAGGTGGAGCATGTGCGCCCGTAACGCGTCGAGGACGATGCTGATGTGCTGCAAGTGCTCTGCCCACGAAGAGCCAAAAATGAGGATGTCGTCGAAGAACACCAGCACGAACCTGCGGAGGAAGGGGCGAAGCACGTCGTTCATCAGGGCCTGGAACGTTGCCGGAGCGTTGGAGAGGCCGAATGGCATCACCAGAAACTCGAAGTGCCCGTGGTGTGTGCGGAACGTTGTTTTGGTGACGTCGTCAGGATGCATCCACACCTGATGGTAGCCCGAGCGCAAGTCAAGCTTGGTGAAGGCGCCATGTAGTTCGTCGAGGAGCTCATCAACCACCGGGATCGGGAACTTGTCTTTAGATGTCTTGGCATTGAGAGCGCGGTAGTCGATGCAGAAATGCCAGGAGTTATCCGCCTTGCGCACCAACAGCACGGGGGCGAAGAACGGAGACGTGCTCGGTCTGATGATGCCTTGGGCGAGCATGGCTGCACACTGTCGTTCCAGCTCATCCTTCTGTAGCTGGGGGTAGCGGTAGGGACGAACCGTGACCGGTGCTGTGCCCGAAAGCCGGTGGATGCGATGATCATATGGCCGCGTCGGTGGCGGCCGCTCGGCTTCGTCAAGACCGCCCGAACGTGGAGGAGGCGGTCCGCAGGGAAGTATGATGGGGCACCGTGACCTGTGCAAACTGGCTCCCGAATGTCGTCCGCGGGAGAGCCAATGCCCTTCCACGTATCACGCTTACGCCGCGGTGAATGCCATGCACAGATCCTCGAAGTCCCAGAGAATAGGACCCAAGGTGCGGAGGTACTCGACGCCGAGGATGAGATCGAACCCCCCGAGATTGATGCTAAAGCAACTGATGGTAAACTCCTCCCCACCAATGGCGAGAGCGACGTCACGGGCGATTTTTCAGAGGGCACACGGTCCCGTTAGCCACCGGCGCCCGCATGGAAGGATGGGGGCGGTGGAGAAGGCCTAAGCGGCGCATGAGGTCGGCGTTGATGAAGTTAAAGCGTCGAGGCCGAGTCGAGGAGCGCCACAAGGCGATGGCCATGAACATGGACGGGAGGAGCATGGCATTCTCATCCGGATGCCGGTGATGGCATATAGGGAGAGGCGGTTTGAAATTTCATGGCTGCGGGCTCCTAGACGGCTGCAGAACAACCTCGGAGTGCGGCATCCTCGGAAGGTCTGCTACTGACCACCTCCATGAGGAACCTCGTCGTCGAGAAAATCCATGGACTCCAGATAAAAGAGCCGTGGACACATGGCCACGCACATATCTGGCTCGTCGATTATAGCAGAGAGACTCGGCGACGCTCCAATTGTTTCTACGGGAGACAGACGGCGGAAAAGAAGGCGGAAAGGGTCTCTGCCGACCTGCTTTATTCTTTGGAAGCAAGAGCGCGCAGAGATAGCTACTGGAGGGCGCGCCAGCGTCGAGGGGCATCTGAAGACTCAGCCTTTGGGTGGCCGGGCATATGGCGTTAGCCCGGCCTTTCGAATGCCCCGCCAAATGCATGGCCGTCTCGAAGGTCATGGGGCTCCAAGCTCCACGTCGACTTTGATATGCTCGGGAGGCGCCGACAAACAATTTCGGCCTTCAAGGGGCCGAGAGATTGCGGGCATGGCGAGCCGGCGTTGAAGCGAACGAAGTAGTCTGCATTGTGGAGGTGAGCGGAAGGCGCATGAAGTTCAAAACGATCGGGTGTTACGAACCGTCGGCCCGAATCTGCAGATTGCACAGCTCTTGAAAGCGGTCCCGGTGGGCATGCCCTCATCCTTCTCCAAGGCGTAATACCATATACGTGTCGCACGGTCGGATGATAGGATGCGAGCCAGTGCGATCTGAGGGAGGGTACATCGCCTCGGAAAAATTGCTCACGATGATTGAGCCAATTCAGGGGTCCTGAGCCGTCGTGGGTCGTAAACTCGAGCTTGTAGAAAAGCGGAGGGTGAGCACCCGAGGGGCCTAGTTACTGGACAAAGGGCTCCGGAACACCGCCTATGGACGGGGAGGCACTCACACCTAGGTGCCCAAGTCCGTAGAAGAGGGGGCCGTCGGAACCCCCATAGGAAAAGCCATCGGCCTGGGATCCCCCGTGGAAGACCACAGTGGCGGTAGTGGGGGAGGTGGCGATGATGATATAGCGCATGGAGAGGTCGCCATGGTGTACACCAGTGGTCGTCGAGGCTAAAAGCCCACGATGGAATCGGCTGAAGGGGGCGGCATCCGGAGGAGATGGATGGGAACGCCTGCAGGCTTTGGAGTAGGGCATCCCATACGGCAGCATTGGCAGGGTGGTAGAAATTATGCGATGGTGCGGCGGTGGCTGTACGACCAAGTAGGATTGGATGGCAGCCACCGAGCGAGTCAGCTCCCCGATGGCTGCAGCCACCTGATCCAGCATCATCTGTGCCGCAGGCTTCATCTGGGCAACGGGCGCGGAGGCTGGTGGCAGCAGCGAGGTGGTGACCACCGCGGCAGCAGAGGTGATCGGCGGCGGCGGCGGCAGAGTGTTGGTGGGATTAGGGCCTGACATCTCTGATACCAGGTTGATAGGACGTGAGGTCCTACCGGAGTTGCTGCGGAGGTTGTAGGGATGGAAGAGGGGAGGGGCGAGGTTTGATCTCTCAGCGACGGCGTGGTGTCGTGGCGGCGAGAGGAAGAGGCGACGGTTGCTCGCTGCTGCTGCCCTAGGGCTGTGCGTGAGAGGAGGCAGGGAGGCAAGGAAGTCACGTATGCAGCCCTTGGCCCTTGAGGCCAGGCAAATAATGTTTGCCTTGCTTAATTCCAATCATCCTAGATTACAAGTATTTATCCTTCCCTATAGATGCTATAATTAAGGAACAATATCTATCTCTAAGAAAATACCAAATAAGCGATAAATTGGGCATCTAAGCCCCTTAATAGAGCCGGGGCCCTAGCCACTATTGGGCCTGCGCCTAGCATAGGGGATGCCGGTCATAACAGTCCCCAATAGAGAATCAGATATCTGGAAGGTTTCGAATTAGATATTGTGAAGCATATCAAAGAAAGAAATTACAGTCCACCCTCAATGAAAATACCAAATTGTCAGCTCTTGCAGCCATCCCCATCAACAAGGAGCTCTACAGCTTCAGCGATGTCTGTTTTCTAGGTGATGCAGCAGGTATAGTTCTCATTTTCTACATATTGGTATAGATTATGTTTCCATATAGCCATAAACTTATTCAATTCCATGTCACAGGAAAATCTCAAATAAAAGTTATATCATCCATTCTTTGGCGAACTAAACCAAATTGAAGATCTTGGAGTGGGTAGGCATGAAAATTCTCTGTACAATTGCACTCTTTCTTGCTGCCTAATTCCAGCACTAAATCTCATTGCATTTTTTTTCTTTCTTTTCTGTGCAGCAAGGAAAAAACTTGGCGCACGAGGACAATGACATACCAGGAGATTCGAATATTGGAATTGTGCTTTCTTTAGGATCAAGTGTCTACTATCAGCATTCAATATTTTACTTAAGATCATTTTATCTGATAGTTGAATGTAATTCATTTTACACAATGGGTTGAATGTAACTGAATAAGAAATGGTACAATCTGTTTATTTGAGTTTAAGGGCAAACCATGCTGCAGAATCCCCTTCATGTGAAATACAGTTATGGCATTCAACTACTTCATTAGTCGAAATGCACACAAAAGGAATCTCTGACTGAAATTGAACAAGTATTTGCAGTGCATATGAATTGAAGGAGACAGACACATAAGTACATGCATGATGCAGGGTTGAAGCTGATTTGTTGTGAGAAAAATACTGTAGATTCTAGCTGATAAGCCGAAGCGAAAGCCGGAAGTCCACAATCCACATGCTGTAGTGCTCAGCTTGGTTAGCTGGGTCGAGGCTGAGAAGCCTGCGAGGCTGTGAGGTCGAAGGAGCTGGAGGTGAACCTGACGAGGTTCTTGTAAGGGCCGATGTCTCTGACACTGGCGTCCTAGCCGTAGTGTTCCTGCTACCCCCTCTCCTCCTTGGCCGCTGCCATTTGGTTAGGCCGGTGTCGATCCTGTAGCTGAAGCTCCCGGCCCCTTCGCCAGGTTGCCGTACTTCTCCAGCTCAGTCACCCATCCACGACGACCTGGGTAGCCTGATGAAGATGCAGACGAAATTTCATTGTCCTCTGATAGCTTGTTGGGCGGCGAGACCCTGTGGTTGTCCCTCTTTGTAGCGATGACTGTGGGGCTCTTGGTAATGGGCCGGAGGATCACGATCTTAAAACACTGTTTATTAGTTCGCAAATGCTATACAACACATATGTGTTTTAGCGTAAAAAAAACACATGGATTTTTTCTGTCTCTTTCCCTTCCTTCTGCTAGCACTCCGTGCTGCTGCCGCACGCACGCACGCGTTCATTCTCTGACGCACGCGTTCTCTGTCTACGTAGTTTGTTCGTTCGTTCTCTAACGCACGCGTTCGTTCGTTCTTTGACGCACGTGTGCTTGTGAGCCGGCTCCAGTAGGCCTCTTCTTCTCCTCTACTGTGATTTGTCCTTTTATAGAAAAAACTTATGATCTGCGGATCTAGGATCTTGTGATTTGTGATTGTCTGGAGATAGAAAAAGGCTGGAGCCTGGAGGTTGAAGGAGGATGGAAGCTGTTGGATCTTAATTCTATAGTATAAAAAAATTTATATATTAAAACTACATAAAACACATGGGTGTTGATAGACAGACTCTTATCAGTTTGCATTATGTGTTTTGGTATTGATTATTTGTGATGCCATGAGATGTTACTATCCGTATCAACCGCACGGGCACTCAACTAGTTAAAAAAAAAAGAAAAACTTATGTCTCTTTGTCTTATCCGCCACACTCCTAAATCCTGATCCCGAGTCGCCCGCTTCACTCCCCTCCGCGCCGCGGCGACCAAACCATGGAGCTCGCCACCGTCGCCGCAGCAGTCACCTCCACCGCCGCGCGCCCGCACGGGCCTTTCTCCTCTCCCCGCGCGGTCTCCGTCTCGTGGAATAACAGTCCTTCGCTCGCCTCCACCTCCCGCCGCTGTCTCTCCACGCCTTCGCGACGGCGGCTGCGGCGGTGGCTCCCCGTCACCTCGGCTGCCGTGGAGCTCCGCGAGGCTGCTGCCGGGGGCGGGGACTCGCTTCGTGTCACCGAGACGCCGCAGCCTGGATCCAGTGTGAGCCCCTCCGCATCCAGCATCCCCTTCCTTGCCTCGCAATGTGCAATTGCTCCGTGAATGAAGCAGGGCGCCTGTTCGAGCTTGTATCGCAGTTTAGCGCCACGGAGTAGCGTGAGTCACGGTGCAAAATTCGTGCTTGATTTTTACGGCAACCTGTGTGTGCCATTCTTCGCAGGTTAAGTTCAGCGTGGAGGTGCCTACTTCCATCATTCGCGAGTGTTACCAAACCACGCTACAGGAGTACGCAAAGCGTTTTAAGGTATCATTTCTGTGCAAACTGGCTGCAAACACGTAGACGAGTACACCCATATGAAATTTCTAAACACATTACTTCCTTTCCGACTATGAGGATGATTATATTGCAAATGTTTCCTGGCACAGCAAGGCATTTTAAGCTTTATTACTTCAAATTTAATGGGTACATGTTTCTGTGATCATGTACCTATGAATGGGTCATGCTCTATGCAGTGCTTAGCACACTGATAGTTTTGTGGGTGTGTGGCCAAGTGTATGTTCAACATTCTCATGAAAATTGGGCCTCATCCTTTTTGTGTATAATAAAGCGCTTTGAAACTGGAGACAATCAGCCGTCCTTGCAAGTTCCAGATTCTGTCCACTTCTGCAAAATTCGTATCAATTTATCGTAGATACACTAGACATCATTCAAAGAAATCAGAATTCCAAAGTAGGGCAGAGATATACCTATACAATGTTTCTTCAGAGTTCAGAGAAGGATGCTGTCTGTCAGTTGTCACTTACCATGTGATGCTGTATATTCTACAGTCTGTTCTGATGTCCATGCTGTTTCTTCTTGTCAGGTTCCTGGATTTCGGCCTGGGAAGACCATTCCAGAAAACATTCTTATAAACTATGTAGGACCGCAACATGTACAGGACGCCACAATTGAAGCTATCTTAAAACATACACTTCCTCAAGCACTGTCCTCGGTAATGAACTCTTAGTCCTATTTGGGGAAGCATCTCTGACGTCTATCATGATAAGCTGTTGGTTTGAAAGTGTTCATGGAAACCAAAATGTAGTTATGGTAATCTATATTTTTATTATATCAGCAGTCATCGGAGTGATGGTGATGATGATATGATGAATCTGTCAGTTATTATATGATATAGCCATGTCATCATGCTTACTGAACAGACAACTGGCAAGGTGATCTGCAGGCAACACTATCTACAGCATTTATGTAGAAATTCGATGTGCACCTTTTCTGTACTCCAGATATCTCCGAAATCACTTCAGCAGTCTGAAACTCTGAATATCTTGTTGAACCATGACTTTTCCTCCCTCCCTACGGCATATATATATATTTTTTGCAAGACTACCGGCATGACATGCACTTACTACTACATCTATCCAGCTAATGTCTTTTTTTTTTGGGTGTAAGGTAGAGGAGAGGGCATTAGAAGATTCTGTTCGCATTCTGACTCAGTTTGATGATCTGAGAAATTCTTTCTCACTCGACGATGTGTTTAGGTAGACAGTTCAGCCATATATATGACCTACTCATTTCATTTTTAAAAAATAAAATTGACAGTTCTCAACAAATAAGTTCAATGCTAATATACTATCATGTCATCTTGAGGTCATATACTTTGTTAATGTCAAATTTTGGTCAGATATGATGTTGCTGTGGATGTTGTCCCTGAAGTCCGATGGTTATCCGAAGACAAATATAAGAACCTCAAAGTTGTTGTTGAAATAGATGAAGCTGTTGATGCAGAAAAGGCGGCAGAAAAAGAGCTTCAGCGACGTCATAAAGCTCTGGGCCTACTTAGAGTTGTGGCTGAGAGAGGCCTCCAGGTAATTCTATAGGTACTCTAGTATGTAACAAACTAATGACACCTTTAGTATCAATTAGTTATTCTGTCATGTGGGGCCGGCATTACAGCCGGCAGCCTAGGAAGCAGCAAGCAGCCAGCAAGGCCTTGACCAGCCAGGAGCACCTCAAAGGGCCTGTAGTGTGAAAGGGTCATGAGTCTGAACAAGTGAATTAGGTGTGAAAGTTAATCAGAGGGTGATCAGCCGGCCAGGCTATCTCCTATATATATGTAAGCTAGACCTTTGATTGGGATTAAGAAAGAAGAAGTTATCTAAACCCCTCACCTCTCTCAAACTCTAAACCTCATCTCTTCTCCAGGCAGCCAGGCAACAACCCTGGCGCCACCCCTACCTGGATCCTACGAGCTACGAAGTCAGGGAGCTCCTAGCCTTGGAGTGGAGGCCCTTGACATATTCTTGTAATCTGGCATGTCTATTTTGAAGCAAATCCTGGGCCCACTCATTTTACTTGAAACTAGGCACTTTCAGCAACTATTGCATTATTCCGATATTCTTTGTGTCCCTCTCATAAATTTATATCCCTTATTTCTTATTTTGTCTCTACTCCGTCAAATTGACCTTAAATACTCATAGTACCAACCAGTATAGGCAATACTGTTCAAGACTGGTAGGACCTGTGATTGGCTCACCTTGAAGGGATTGTTGGAATCCTTCTGTCAATCAACTGGGCTCAGGGTTAATTATAAGAAGTCTTGTTTGGTCCTTCTAAGTCTCTCCTTTGAGAGAGCCCAACAGCTGGCTGGAGTTTTTGGTTGCAAACTTGAGTCTCTCCCTTTAAACTACCTAGGACTGCCAATGGGTACTACCAAACCCAGGGTTGATCATTTTGGCTTCATCATGAACAAAACAGAAAGAAGGCTTACAGCTACATCAAATCTTCTAATACATGCAGGAAGGATGGAATTGGTTAACTCAGTGCTCTCCTCTCTGCCAACATATGCAATGTGCACACTGCAGGTGCCAATAACAGTTCTTGAGTACATTGATAGAGCTAGAAGGCACTGTTTATGGAGAGGATCAGACAGCAATGCTAAGATGAAGCCTATGGTTGCATGGAAAAAATGTTGCAAACTCAAAAGGAAAGGAGGCCTTGGCATCATTAATCTAAGAAGTCAAAACACAGCCCTTCTGCTTAAGCATTTGGATAAATTCTATAACAAGAAGGAGATCCCTTGGGTGAAATTCTATAACATAGCCCTTCATACTCTTATATCCCTTATTTCTTATTTTGTCTCTACTCCGTCGAGTTGACCTTAAATACTCATAGTACCAACCAGTATAGGCAATACTGTTCAAGACTGGTAGAACCTGTGACTGGCTAGCTCTCAGCTGAAGTGATAGGTTGATAGCCCTGGTTGTTCTGCCTCTGAGAAACAGATACTGACCTTTACTGGCAATTTTCCATTGAATTATTTCTATCGACAGTCAAATTTGCTTTGTTACAGTACAGTCCTGATCTGATATTGGCGCCAGTACTCGTTTTATGGCATAAATCCATTTGCTCAACAAATGGTTGTAACATTTATCTGTGCAAGATGCAACTGGAGTCTAGAGTTCTTTGTTCCCTTTCCCCTTCAAATGTTTCCTTGTAATCAACAAGCTTTATTTTTGAAAAGCTACTAGCTTCAATAAAGGTGGAATATTTAATTAAATATATATATATATTTTTTTGTGAAACTAATTAAATATACTTTGATGGTTAGCATCAACCCAATATTGTGTTATCTAACTGCATTCATTTTCTTGGATATATGCAGATTGGTGATCTGGTGGTACTAGATATATTTGCAGAAAGCATTAATAGTGATGGCTCTAAAGGTGAAAAAATTTCATCGGCTGAGAGTACAGGTTTGTCAATTTTTCACGCATCTGACTTACATGTTATTTTCATAACTTCGCCTTTAAAATTTATTATGAGTTATCCCTTATTAGAAAAAAATGGTATTCTAAATTCTAATGATGTATATAGAAATTATTGCGCCTAAAAGAAATGCTGTCATTCCACACTTGTTATGTTTGATGCATTTATTTCCCTGTAATTTGATGTAGTGATGTGAGTGGATATTAAATATATTTGTCTGCTGAGTTTTCTTTGTGCACCAGTTAGTATGCTAACTGAGACAACTTCCTTGCATTTCTGTTTTTTTTTTTTTGAAATCACAGTGCTATATTATACCTACTATGATTTTCAGGTTTCCACTTGGACACTGAGGAAACTAATAACCTTGTTCCTGGATTTCTTGGTTCATTAATTGGGATCCATCCTGGTGAAGCTAGATCATTTCCTATTCAGTTCCCTGAGTCGTTTGAGCAAGAAAGTCTACGAGGTGTCCATGCACAATTTACTGTGAGTGTTATTTCTAAAAGAGCACAGTCAAAGATTTGTGTTCATGCTTTTCACTAATCGCTTCACTTTATGCTTTATCACACACACTTTACAAGATCAATTAGTATCAGCAGAAGGTGTACTCCCTTAGTTCTAATCACTGCAGCTGGTACTCACAATCCCATTTTCAATGTATTGTGTAGGTTGTGTGTAAAGAGCTCTTCTACAGAGAGTTGCCCAAAATGGGTGACTCACTTGCTGTAAAGCTTCTTCCAGGATGCACTACCATAGATGAGGTTTGTATTCTGTTCCTGTAGTAACGTACTCAATCCCGATAAAAAAAAAGTAACATACTCAACTTTCTTGGACATGTGCCAGTAAACCTGTTTTTTTGAAAATTAGTGCCATTTGATCCTAGTGCATCTATTCAAATATTATCTGTGAACTGTGAACAGCATATAGTTGCTGGTTAATTATCTTTTCTGTCTTAGTACTCAGCCCCTCTGACTATTGCAGGTTCGAGAACGTATTTTGGAAAGATGTAAAGAAGTAGAGAAAACGGCCATAGAACAAGCAACCGATAACGCAATCCTTGATCAGCTCGGGAAGGTATTGCTCTTACTTCTGAGACAGCCTATCAATTCTGAAGTCTTGGTGCAGGGTAGATCATTAACATGATATGCTTTCTTCAAGTATTCAAATTCTTTTGCACCTTGTCCAAGATCATTTAAATTTTCACTAATCTCTCCTTGGTTTCCTTAGTTGGTTGAGGTTGATGTTCCTCGTGCCTTGTTTCAAGAACAAGGCCAACAACTTTATGGAGCCAAACTTCTGCAGCTTCAGGTACTAAACAGTCTAACAATCAACTAATTTTCAACCGATCCTTTCTGAATAATGTAGATTTATTAATTCCTGCAGGCAGAAAGGAAGCTAGATAAAGACCAGCTAGCATCCTTATCGACCCAGAGGTCAGTTCAGGCGTACCTAGAAGATGAGAAGGAGAATATTACAAGAATCATTAAACAGATGCTGGCTGTTGGTGATGTTTTCAAATCTGAGAATTTACAGGTAACAATAATACCTGGGTTTCGTGTTTTTTTTTGTTGTTGTTGTTGTGTTAGGGTGATGCTAGCAAACCTCCTAGCTTTCGCCTTTAGTTGAAGTATCTTTTATCAGCATTTACTAATAACAACAAATCATCATGCAGTACTCAACTGAACAGCTCATCAAGGAAGTTGAAAACTCCATAGCAGAGTTCAAACAGTACAATCAAGACTATGATGAGAACAACATCAGGCAGCAGGTATTTAATTTCTTGATTTGGGTATTTCTGATTGTGAGTTCCTTCACTAAACTGCAGCCTGGCTATTTTTTCTGATTTCACTGCAATTTTCATTTTTTTATATTATTTTAGTGTCTTTTCATCTCACAGATGTCAACTATCAGTGAATCATAAGTTCTATGCTAAAAGGGATTATCTGCCTAACCTTATCTTTTCCCATGAACGGAAAACCTCACTTGTATTATTTCTATGTGGAATTCAATGATGCAGGTCCAGGATGTTCTAGAGGCAGCGAAGGTGCTTGAATGGCTCAAGGAGAACTGCACAGTCGAGTATATCAGGCGATGAGTCTCTGATGCTGCTGGGTCAAGGCTCTCTAAACGTGAGAAAGATGGCTGGTGTGACAGTGGGCAATTTTGTGAGTGACCTTGGTCCTTGCCAACCAACCCATGCAATGAAGAATCTTGGCGCATAGCAGTCCAGTACAGTGATTAAGAATTTGTTTCTTTATAGCATAAGAAAGAAGTATACTATATTTTGTAAGTACAATGCAAGTTTGCAAACGTTGTACCCACTCTTTAAGAGGTTGTAATCCATATTGCAACAGATCAGTCTTACAAATATAAAAATCAAGTGAATTAAGAGTTCTACATCGGTTCCGTTGTGCCATCCCCTTTTTCAGTTCTCCAGTTTGGATGTGATGTGTTGGACTATGTGCACGATGGTTTTCTTTTGTCTCCATGAAAATGTGGAATTGGATGCATGCTTGGCTGGTTGCTACTGCTTCCCCGTGGCTTGCAATGTATGCGGATTGTGGATGAGCAGCAACTCAGTTACCATTTTATGGTATTTCAGAAGCTATTTTGCATAAAAGTTATATGGCTCAAATATCTATTGGGAAACACACACGAGCACGTGTGGCGTGTGTGCGCGCACACACAAGCCACACACGCAAGCCCACACACAAGTCACACACCCACGCACGCACGCATACGCACACGCACGCGCACACAAGAGCCACACACCGACACATACGCATGCGAACACGCGCGCACAATCATCTTTAATTCAACCAGGTGGTGTGTTTTCACGTGCTAGAATTCAATAGTTAAACAAGACGAAGATGGGGGAGAAGGGGTGCAAACTAAAGATGACAATGGGCCCAATCCCCGATTCCCTGCAGGGAATTCCTTATTAGGGGATAGGGATAGGGCCATTTGATCCCCCATGGGGATCGGGCGATGATCAGGGACTCGTAGTGGAACTAGGTCCGCCGCTTCGCGATGAATGCCTTGACCGCCTGCCGAAACGCCTCTCTGTCGTCCATCCCCAGCTCTACCGCCGCCGCCCTAGCCGCTGCCCCCGACCGCCGTTGTCGCCGCCTACCATTTCTGACTTAGCTCGCCGCAGCTCCGGTGAAGCCGCCCTTGTTGTGCTGTACGGTCTTCTCCGACATGGTCCACCGCAGGGGGACTAGGTGCGCACCATCTTCACGTGCACTGCCTCCTTGTCCTCGAACACCTCTTCCGGCGGTGCCACCTCCTCCCCAGAGGGCTCAGCCCAAGTCCCCATCCCCAATCCTCGCTTCCCCACCACGCAACAACTCAGTTACCATTTTATGGTACTTCAGAACCTATATTACAAAAAAGTTATATGGCTCCAGTATGTAATGGGAAACACACACGCGCAAGCACTCACCCACACAAGCCACACACCCACTCATGCGCGCATACGCGCACGCACAGGCCATGCGCGCGTGCAGACACAAAGCCACACACCGACACACACGAACGCGCACACGCCCACGCACACATCCTTAATTCAACCGGTGTGGTGTGTTTTTACTTGCTAGAATTCAATAGTTAAACAAGGCAAAAATGGGGGAGAAGGGGTGCAAACTAAAGATGGCAATGGGCCCGATCCCCGATTCCCCTAGGGGAATTCCCCTATTAGGAGATGGGGCCATTTGATCCCCCATGGGGATCGGCGATGATCAGGGACTCCTCGTGGTGGAACCAGGTCTGCTGCTTCGCGATGAATGCCTTGACCGCCTACAAGAATGTCTCCCCGTCGTCCATCCCTAGCTCCACCGGCGCCGCTGTAGTCGCTGCGCTACCACCGACCGCCGCTTGCTGTTCTCCAACTTGGTCGCTGCAGCTAGCTCGGCGACGTCGCCCTTGTTGTGCTCATAAGGCCTGCTGCGCCACCGCGGGTCTTCTCCGACAAGGTCCACCGCAGGGGTTGGGCGCACACCATCTTCTCGTGCACTGCCTCCTTGTCCTCGAACACCTCCTCTGGCGGCGCCGCCTCCTCCCTGGAGGGCTCCGCTCTGGTCCCCATCCCAAATCCTCGCTTCCCTACCCCGCAACAACTCAGTTACCATTTTATGGTACTTCAGAAGCTATTTTGCATAAAAGTTATATGGCTCAAATATGAAACACACACACAAGCATGCACACAAGCCACACACCAACGCATGCACGCACACAAGAGCCACACACCGACAAAAACGCACATGCACATGCGCGCACACGCATCTTTAATTCAACCGGTGCGGTGTGTTTTAACTTGCTAGAATTCAATAGTTAAACAAGGCGAAGATGGGGAGAACCGGCTCAAACTAAAGATGGCAATGGGCCTGATCCCGATTCCTGGCGGCGAATTCCCCTTTTAGGGGATGGAGCCATTTGATCCCCCATGGGGATTGGGCGATGATCAGGGACTCCTCTTGGTGGAACCATGTCTGCTGCTTCGTGATGAACGCCTCGACCGCCTACCGGAACGCCTCTCCGTCGTCCATCCCCACCTCCACCGGCGCCACCGCTGCCGCCAACTATCGTTGCTGCCGCTTGCTGTTCTCCAACTTGGTCCCGAAGCTCCGGTGACGCCGCCCTCGTCGTGCTCGTATGGCCTACTACGCCGCCACGGGTCTTCTCTAACATGCACCGTGGAGGTTGAGCGCCCACCGTCTTCGAGTGCACCACCTTCTTGCTATCCTCGAACACCTCCTTCAGTGGCGCCACCTCCTCCCCGGAGGGCTTCGCCCTGGTCCTCATCCCCAATCCTCGCTTCCCCGCCCCACCCCGCAACAACTCAGTTTCCATTTTATGGTACTTCAAAAGCTATATTGCACACAATTTATATGGCTCAAATATCTAATGGGAAACACACACGCACGCATGGCGTGTGTGCACGCACACAAGCCACACACCAACGCACGCGCTCATACGCACACGCACAGGACACGCGTTGAGCACACACACAAGAGCCACACACCAACACACATGCGCACACATTATTTATTTCAACCGGTGTGGTGTGTTTTCACTTGCTAGAATTCAATAGTTAAACAAGGCGAAGATGGGGGAGGAGTGCAAACTAAAGATGGCAATGGGCCCGATCCCCGATTTCCCGTGGGGAATTCCCCTAATAGGGGGTCGGGCCATTTGATCACCCATGGGGATCGGGCGATGATCAGGGGGACTCCTCGCGGTGGAACTAGGTCTGCTGCTTCGAGATGAACACCTCGACCGCCTACTAGAACACCTCTCCATCGTCCATCCCTAGCTCCACCGGGTTTCATCAATTCACCGCGCTTGCCAAACTCCAACTTCGGTTGTCGCATAACTCCATTGTGCTCATTGTGCTTCGACTGCTTGCTGCGCCACCGCGGGTCTTCTCTGACATGGTCCGCCACGGGGCCTAGGCGCACACGGTCTTCACATGCACCGCCTCCTTGTCCTCGAACACCTCCTCTGGCGGCGCCGCCTCCTCCCCAGAGGGCTTCGACCAGGTCCCATCCCCAGTCCTCGCTTCCCCACCCCGCAACAACTTAGTTACCATTTTATGGTACTCCCTCCGTTCTAAATTATAAGTCGCTTTGACTTTTTGGTACATCCATTTTACTATACAGATAGATATAATAATATGTCTAGATACACAGCAAAATTAATGAACTAAAAAAGTCAAAGCGACTTATAATTTGGAACGGAGCGAGTACTTCACAAGCTATTTTGCATAAAAGTTATATGGCTCAAATATCTAATGGGAAACACACATGCGCACATGGCGTGTGTGCGTGCACACACAAGCCACACACACAAGCACACACACGAGCCACACACCCACGCACACACGCGCATAGGGCACATGCGCGCGCACACACACAAGAGCCACACACCGGCACACACACGTGCACACGGGCGCACACACATCTTTAATTTAACCAGTGTGGTGTATTTTCACTTGCTAGAATTTAATATTTAAACAAGGCGAAGATGGCAGAGAAGGGGTGCAAACAAAAGATGGCAATTGGCTCGATCCCCGATTCCCCACGAAGAATTCCCCTATTAGGGGATGGGGCCATTTGATCCCCCATGGGGATTGGGCGATGATCAGGGACTCCGCACGGCGGAACCAGGTCTGTTGCTTCGTGATGAACGTCTTGACCGCCTGCCAGAACGCCTCTCCGTCGTCCATCCCCAGCTCCACCGGCGCCGCTGCTGCTGCTGCCGCTTCCGCCGATTGTCGTTGCCACCACCTGCCGTTCTCCGACTTGGGTCGCCGCAGCTCCGGCGATGCCACCCTCGTCATGCTCATATAGCGTGCTGTGCTACCATAGGTCTTCTCCTACATGGTCCATCACGGGGGGATGGGCACTTACCGTGTTCACGTGCACCGCCTCCTTTTCCTCGAACACGTCCTCTGGCAGCGCCGCCTCCTCCCCGGTGGGCTCTGCCCTGGTCCCCATCCCCAATCCTCACTTCCCCGCCCCTCTATGATGTGTACGAGAGTCGAGAGATGAACCAGGAGCATACCACCAGACATCCATAGCTCTAGGCCCATCTAAAGGCATCATCTCGATTGCGGGCACCCTTGCTTTGATGTATTCTTCCTTTGCAGGTCCAGTCGGTTAGGTTTGTGGCGAAGGTCCTCTCTCTAACACCTTTCTTTCTATTCTGCTGTCGTTTAGGTTCCTAACCACTTTCTCTGTGGTTCTGTAACCGACACTATGGGGTTCTTCTCCCGTAGCTACATTGTGTAAGCCGTTCTTTAAGGTCTTCTTCTTAATGAAATACTTGTGAAGTCGTGTTCTTTAAAAAAACACTGGTATCCTAAGTATTGGCAGGCCCCAAGGTGATTCAAGACCAAGTGGGTCATGCACGAATTCAGCCTCGAGAGAAAATGTAGACACAACAACGCCAGCCTATGCTTCAATCCATGGTATGACACTCAGTCTACTTGAGGAACATTACTTATATGGATATGATATGTATACTTGTGCTGAAAAATATTTTACAATTTAGTTTGTGTCAATAAACTTTAATGTGCAAATTTTTTTGTTTTAT